GGGACACTTTGCTTGACGAAGGGGCTCTGTAAGACTCAGAAATGCTGTATTTATATGTCATGCTGAAGGAATACGAATAAAGATGACATTTAAAAGCAGAATGGTGTGTGGACAACATACAGTATCTTCTAGATTGTATTCTGTGGTGCCATCCACCAGCTGTTCCAGCACTACTTTACATTATTACACAAATCTGGAAGAAATGCACAAATGGCAACAAGATATAAGTGAGAATGGACATGGCTTTCTTATTTAGACATTATTTGTTTAGCCCAGAGTTAAACTTTAAAAATACGCATACAGGCAGTCCCCGAGTTACATACATCCGACTTACATACGACTCCTACTTACAAACGGAGGCTATTACTGTACAGCAGGAGTAGTTGTAATGCTACCGCGCTTGTGTTGGCGAGTTTTTGGGTCTGTATTGTACCTACACTACAGGAAGTTGGCTCTTGTTGGATGAGCAGACGAAGGGTGCCCACCTCTTCTTCCGAGTCACTGTGAGTTTTTACTGCTGTCTGTATCCTCATTAGAAGGATTTAATCTTCCTTCTTGTCTTTGAGACAACAGGAAGTGAGAGGAAATCTACCCCTAGGAAGGGAAATTCACTCCTCCACGAGTTATCATGGGGAAAAAGGTGTCTCCACTGAAGCTTTATCAACAATCCTTGTTCCACGACAACCCAAAAATGTTCAAAATACAATTGTTATAGGGACAGAAAGTGAGGTGAAATCTTTTGAACAGGGGCACACACAGCAAAACAAACATTACAGGGGGTAAACCCTTTCCCATGTTATCCAAAACTAAAAAAAAAAAAAAAAAAAAATTTGGCTGTTGCACTTAAAAAATGTACCTGTTCCAACTTACATACAAATTCAACTTAAGAACAAACCTACAGACCCTATCTTGTTTGTTACCCGGGGACTGCCTGTATATTTGTTCTTCAAATTATATTTTACAATGTTTATCCTGTGTGTTCCGTCTCCTGCAGACATTACGTATTTGCTGCTCTATGTTTATTGTTTGGTTCCTAAGCTGGGCACTTAACTGTTATTACCGTCTTTATGGATACTGGTTTTATGGTTACTGATGGCAAATTGCTCTGATATTTAACACCTTTTTGTTTTTATGTTAACACTGGGAGTAATCTTTCACCATAGTCCACTTTATTCCTTTTTTCTTTCACTGTTTCAGATAGTTTTCATTAACCAGCTCCTGGTTATATAATCCTCTCACATAATGAGAAAGAGTTTAATATCTCAAACAGAAAGAAAGCTGTCCAAAATTAGAAGTGCTTGAAAGCTTATATTAACAGACCAACTCTGCCCAAATGCATTACCCAAAATACATAGAGATTACAAAATACATAACAAGTATATGATTCAATAACAAATGTGTTGCTATGCACCTGCATAACAAATTTATATATGGAATTGGACTAGGAGGCGGCTGATATGGTTTTTCCAGACTCGATACCGATTATGAGCACCTTTCTGGATGATAACCGATATCAGATATCGATTTTCTGTTTACATCCAGCTGCAGAATCCTGAATGTAAACAGCAGGCAGTGTGCTTGATATCGGTCGACCCCTACTGATGGCAGTGAAGGGAAGCCTCCACCCCCCATAAGTGGCCCCTCAGCCGCCCCTCTGCCCCATTTATCTGCCTGTGGCTAGATTCCTTAGCCAGCAGCTGAATGTAAACAGCAGGCAGTAGCTTACTGTTCTCCTTCAAGTCCAAGGGGGTTGGGGCTGACTGCAGGGAGCAAAGGCCTTACCAACATCTGCAGATTCTTTTGTATTCCGACAGCAGCCGCTGTCTCGTTGACTGCCGCTCTTTTCGTACAAGGATTTTATGACCATCTCCTTCGATCAGCTAATCGAGTGATGCCGGTCCAAAGGCACTCACTGTGTGAATTTCAGCTGCTTCCTCAAGAACTGCCCAAAATGTGCACAGTTTATGGCCACCTTTATTATCATTAATATCTGTAAATTTAACTGATACCAATAATTTAGGTGAATCGGTCGACCCCTAAATTTGACCCACCTTGCAGATTTCAGACCCTAAAAGGTTGTCTAGCTCAAAAACCTTGAAAGAAAACTGTTCCAAATATACATGTTCCTAATATTGACAGTAGTCATTTCTATAAAGTTATAAGAAAGAATATGCCTCCCTTATTGGAAGAGAGCTCAACTTTGTAGCAAATCCTACTTTAGATAAGGATACCTTATCTTCTTCATCTTTATCGTTTGCAAAGCTAATAACTGGAATACTAAAATACTTCCTCTACCTTCCAACTGTCCCTTATTTGGAGGGGCTGTCCCTCATGTGTCCCTCTTTCCTCCTCAGTTGTGTCTCTTTTTGGACTGATGTACAGATATCTATGAAAAGCTTCTATTTGCCTCCCAAAAGTGTTATTCTGTACTAAAACCTTTATCTTATCTCTTAATCATCTTGCTATTTCAACAAGACAATATAAAGCAACAGTAATGGTGAAAACAAAAACTGCATTCGCACAACATTTGTAACACAAATATTTTTAGAGGTCCGCATTACTGGGGACACGGCATTGGTGTGTTTATTGTCTAAATACATTGTGATGGAAGGTGTCCCTCTTTCTCATCTCAGAAAGTTGGGAGGTATGACTGCCTGTTACTTGGCTCCTGCCATTAAATAAAATCAGTTTGCTTGTCTGTATCATATATAGTATGTTTCATCCATCAAATTGCTTGCATGTCCATGCAATGTGAGGAACAAAATTTACTAGCATAAGCATACCCAATTGCTAAGATATACAGTATGTCTTCTTATTTAGATGAATACTTTATCATTAATAATTCTAAGGGTATTTCCCTGGAAATTCTAAGTTTTGCTCATAAAGTTGTAATAATATGAACATCTATGACACTTAGCTGAAATAGAAAAAAAGATTAAACTAAATTACCAGCTTATATGCAGATACTAAAAAGCTGGAAAAGCAGCTTAAAATTTTACTCACACTATATACTTACATGCTTAAAAGATAAACAAACTGCTTTAGATACATTACTATGAGACCAGGATAGTAAAGCTTGTATCTACCTATATGGTAATATTTCTACCAAAGGTGTTCTCTTCTGATAAATTAGGCAATCAAAACTCCCAATGCTTATCAATTCCAAAATGACAAGGGTTAAATTGTTTCTCATCCCTGCAAAAATTACATTGTTTAGTTCTTATCTTATCACCTCGCAATATGGAATCCATCCAAGTTTGAATATGTCATTCCTAAAAGTGTATAGAAATCCAAAAGTTTGTTTTATATTTTGAATAGAGTAGGGAATGGCTTAAACCCCCCTCAGGTTTTTTTGGGGGGGGGGTTGCCAACTGTGTTAAATTGGAGAGCTTTCTCTACATTTCCTGTCCTTCAAACATGACACAAAATAAGAGAAAATATTTTTAAAGAGAGTAAATGTACCTGTTATACAGTTGTCACTGGTGTCAGCATTAAAAGATTCACACTCTATTCCTATTCTGGTGAAAAACTCAAAATGTTAGTTTTCCCCTCACGTTCAGTCCTGGCGACATCTGTCACTAAGACAAATAGAAAGGCTGAATCTTTCTAGCAGGGATACCGACCTCAATAAGAACATGACAAGGTCTAATCCCTAACCACTTTATCCAAAACAAAACAAAAAAAGGGGGTTTAAATAGAGTTTAAACATAATATATTTACCTATAACACACATCATCACAAACATAGATATCACATGGTATATTACCATAGTCAGAAGATTGTCAAGAAATTAGTCAAGCTCTTGTAAAGTTTTCTAAAAATTTTTATAGTATTAGCTTAGTGGTACATAAAATAAATACATGTCATTAAAGCTATGGCAAATTATTATTTGGTTTGGTTCAGTGCATTCATAAAGGAAGGTGACTTTCCCCAAATGATCACCACAGCTACCTGAAGGAAATGTATATTATTATTTCTCAATAATACTTTGGATTTTTCAATCAAATTAGATATATCAATATTCATATTTTTAGGACGTGTGTCGATAGGCTTTTATTACTGTCAGCACTGCATCAATTCTCATACAAGCATTCAGAGGTATCCCATTGCACTCCAAACCTACGTATCCTTATGTGTAGCTTAAATGGGTGCTGAAATAGCCAATGGATGGCACCGTAAGATTAAAGGAGATAATAAGTTCACATTGATTTGCCTGATGAAGGGACTACATGTGGTTCTGAAACATTGCGTTTGCTTTTGACGCCATGTTTATCTAAACGTCAATAAGAGACGGATCAATGAAGTGGACCTTTTTGTGCTGGGGACCTCATTATCTTCTTTATCCTCATACAAGTCAATAGAAATGCAAAAGCAGCTTGGAGCAGGTTGATGGAGCTTAGAAGGAGGTCAAATACAGATCAGAAGGAGGTCAATTGCAGGTTATTACCAGTCAGTTGCACCTGTCATTGAACTATATGTGTGAATGCATAGAATAAAAGGAAGCATAAATTACCAGTTCATTATATCAAAGATAAAACAAATCCAGGTGATAGAATAATGTAGGATACATTGAATCTCAAGGATCAAATAGTCATGCCTATGTAGGTCACAAAATTTCAAGTAAGTAGATAATGTAAGAGGGGAGTACATTTTACAGTTAAGAATTAATGTCATTTAAGTGCTTACAGTGGATAGAGATTCCTGACAGATATTTCATACCTTATAGAATTTAGTTGGGCATTTTAATTTTTTATAAATTATTTTTTCCTATGGGGTGATTTGGATCCCCAATTGCCTTCACAGTCGCAAGGTGTTTCTCTGAGCAATAATCTCATATGCAATGGCCATAGTTGCTCATGCATTGGCCCTGTAGGCGAAGGGAACAAGGAAATAGAGACTGGGATCTGTATTAGAGCAAAAAGAAAAGTGAACCTGATATCAAAAACAATAAATATTTTTAATATCTAATATATTTCAATGTTTCCTTTTTTAGGTAAATTATGGAAACGAACAATGGTACCTTAGAGATCAAAAGTGATGAACAGCCAACCGGAAATGTGACACAAAGTCAAAATGGCTTACCAGAGGCAGATAATAAACCATCAACAGTCATCAGGATCCCGGAAAGGGTTCCTTGTGAAACAGCTGACCATGACATTTCTAAGGAACTGGAAAAGCAGCTAGAAGACATTATCCAGACATATGCCTCTTCTGATGTTACAAGTATTAAGAATGAGAGTATAACTTTACCAACCAAGGAGGAACAATCAAATGATGATGGAGATACTGATGTTACAAACACAGAAGAATCAAAAGAATCAATTTCTTCATCAGATGCCCCATTGGCCAAGGACCCAGCTGTCAGCAAAGAGCAAAGTCCTGAAAAGAAAATTCTGAAGGGATTAGGTATGTACCTGGATTGTTTCCTCTGGTTTACCTAGGCAATGTAGAAAGCTAGAGAAATAAAAGGAGAACTATTCTGGATTTTCTGGCTAATAGTGACCAATAAGATTTTATCTTTAATCTGATTGGCCACTATGGGCAAAATTTCTATTTTAATTCTTCAAAAGCATTTTTTTTTATAAGGCCAATAATATTTCTAATGTACACTGCAGAGTACCACATAAAAACGTATGCAAAATCCAGTTTAACTTCATCTAATATTTTAGATATATTTAAAGAATGTTGGAAACCAGTACATACATCGGTCTCTTCCTCACCGCAATGCTGTTACCTAAAACATCCACAATGGGCACTGCTAGCCATCAGCGTACTATACCTAGTTAATGTACATATTAAAGCCCAGTTGAAGCCAACCAACAGTACAATAGGGCAGAAGCTTGTACCATTGTTCTACAAGCTTCAATTGTTCATGATTATTGCATACAGTGCTGTGGTTTCATGTTTTACTATGAGGCCAATAGGAGGTTCACTTTGCAAGATAATTTTCAATTAGCTTGGTGAATGTGTGAAAACTCACATTGCAAAGAATAGCCAGTTGTATGCAAGACAAATACAACATAAAAAAAGCTGTATTTTTGCTTGCATATGATTGAATGATAGAAATCAGCAGGCCTTCACCTTATTTCACTAAGCTAAAGAAAAAATCCCTTACAAAGTAAACAGCCCATTTGCATCTAGTAAATTAACCCTTACAAATTTACAGTGAATTCAGAGAATTGCTGTGAAATTTCTCTTTAAATTCAGTTCATCTGGAATTAACTGTTGGAAAAAAACTTTATCTCAGATGCAAAAGCATACTTTATCACTTGAGAGGCAAGGAGGAGGTATAACTAATTTGATATGCAGTACATGTACAGTACTGATGTTCTAGAACAATACCCAGTGGACTCTACTGTTAAAAATAAGTATATCATTTGTATAACCTTAATTCAAATGTGGGTAAATTGCAAAGATGTAAATTCCAAAATTCCTAATCTTTATTTCATATCAGTGTACTGAACAAACAATTATTATAATACAATTGAAGGTATTGCTTTCTATCAAACATGGCTTTTATATTTTATCACAGTTATTTATTTATGTATTACTTGATTAATCAGTTGCAATTCATTTATTAATTTTTTTGCAAGTATTTTGTTGTAGATACATCTAGTGCATGCCAGCTAAATAAAAAGCTGAGCTGTTATCTCAAAATCAAAATTTGGAGTGAAAATATGCTACTTATATTTTCTTGAAATCTTTTTTTTTTATGTTTGATAATCATAGGCCATTATGAAGACTTGAGTTATAAACATTTCTAACACACATTCAGCAGATGTGAGCCTTTCTATGCTTGCTTATTTGACTTGCAAATGAATTCATGGATTACCGGTACCCAAATTCATGGTTTCCATGGGTATGGTAATAAAGCACTTTTTCTTCTTTTCTTCTGTGAAGCTAAATAGTTATAGCACTGTATTCTTCGGTATGTCATAGTAAGTGGAATAATTGATGTAATTCATGCAGAACTACTGCATAGCAGAATTGCATGTCTTACAAAATTGCCATTTTCAGCTTGATGTACGATACAACTGATAAATAATATATTTGCACATAAAAATATTTTGTTATGCCATTTTTTTCTTTTTCATTAATAAATATACTATTTTAAATTAATTGTAAATGTCTCTACCTTTCTCCTGTCCAATTAATTGGTTTATAAAAAAGATTAAGTAGCATGTTTATGAAAATTGGAGAAATGTGGCCATTCCATGCTCTCTAGCAGGGTGGGGAAACGTTGGCCCTCCAGCTGTGGTGAAACTACAAATCCCATCATGCATCTGTCCCCGGGAGTCATGCCTGTAAGGATCTTGCAATGCCACATGTGATTTGTAGTTCCACAACAGCTGGAGGGCCAGAGTTTACCCACCACTGCTCTATAGTGAGGTCACCCTCTTCACTCATTGGTGTAGGAGGTTCTTTGACTTCTGTTCTGAGTCCTGGAGTCTGAGGACTTTGTAGAACCTTGGGTGGGATAAAGCCTCCATCTCTAGGACCACAATTTTCCTGTTAGCCAGACCTCATAAATGAATCTCAGATGTCCACAGGCCTTTTAATGTGGGAGCTGATTGTTGCTGAGGGCTCTCTCTGCTGTGTGAGCTTCCTCCTAGCTTAAAAGATGACTGCCAACAGAATACTAAAAAGGTACACATGCTGCCTGAATGTTTTGGAGGGCACTGTGCTAGTCAGGCATATTTTTAGTTTTTTTTATGCTGACTGTACAAAGCCCCAGTGCATTCAGCTGTGTCCATTTAGTGCTTTGCTAAATAAAAGTGCAGGACAAACCTTTCTGAACTGGCTGTTCTTGTATTATGCATGGTTTATCATTGCCAGTATATATATATA